ACTCTCAGGAAAGAAAGATAATGAAATGAAGCTGAAATACATTCATAAAACAGAAGTAGATTGCAAGAACCTTTGCCTAATACCAGCTTGACTTTCCATAAAGTCCATGAAATCATTGCTCTGTTATTTCCCTAAATCAAAGAGCAACCCTTCTGATGTATGTCTACTTTTCTTTTTGAGCTCTTAAATTTATAGAAGACTGCAGGTGTAAAATGATGCAGCCAACCTGTATAGAAGGAAGGAAAGACATTAAGTCAACACTTCAAGCTGGTGACTTTCTGAGAGTCCTTCCTTTTTCTTCCATAAGAGTTCTTAAGAGTAGAGGCAAGATTTCACCCAAAATAACTAAAATTGATCCTTTGTGATGATAACTGTATGTAAGAAATATTGTAAATGATTGAAAGGTTCAGGAAGCCACCTTCAAACCTGTGTGTCAGGCCATTTATGACAGTGGACTGACCTGAGTCCTTAAAAACAGGCAAATGCTTCACCACTTTTTAAATAGAGCTCTTAGGTCTATAAGGAGTCCACTGGCATAATAAATAACCTTAAAGTCAAAGGTTATTTATGTGTACTGTCAAGTACATAAGGAAGAAAATACTATCCAAAATTTTCGGGGTTTTTTTTTTTTTTTCACTTAACTGCTTGCTAGCAAGTAGGAGCATCTGTAAAATTTGCAGATCTATTTGGATCACAGATTAAAATGTATGTAAAAATATTTGGGTTTATGTCTACTTAGGTATTAAAATTAATGCCCCAGTATAATGCTGCACATGCAGATACCTTTGTAACACACCCAGTTTTCTGGAAAATAAAAGTGCAGAGACAGTGTTACTTTGATTCTTAAGGAGGAGAACTATTTCAGGATGTTGCACAATAAATCATCAACAAGCCTCTCACTGACAATAATGGCAGTAGAATTTTACCCTTTTTCACTTGAGGGACAGTTCAGTGTAGCTGTAAAATGGGTATAATGATTATTGCCTGCCTCAACATGTTGTTTGGCTAAGAACTTTTGACTAAGTCCTGCAGATGCCCACTGTGCACAGATGTCCAGAACTCCCATCCTAATATTAAGGACTAAGTCCCTGAGGTAATGACTGTGCTGAGTGTTTGAGACCCTGAGAAGTCAACAGATGATTATAATATTATTATTATCACTAAAGCGAATAATGATGGCCTTGTTTTAAAGTATATTTTCATTTTCAGTGATGCTTCTGAACAACTGCTTCATGCATCTGGCATACCTTATTTTTCTCTTAATGTGTTAGGTATTTGCTCAGCTTTTGAGTCATGTGTGTTATAACTGTTCACATTAGTGAAGCTCCACCAAGAAACACAGACAACTATCTAACAGAGATCCGAGGGAGAGGAAGGACTACTCTGCTCATCTGTTCTGACCTCCTGTCATAATTCCTGCAATAAAACTGTTTTTTCTTTTCTCCCACATAAGCAAATGTTGTCAAACCCAATAGTTTCAGTATCAAGGGAGTAATATTTATAGTGCAGTCTAGATAAAGAGGCAGGAGGCCTGAAACAAATAAGGCTGACCCCAATTATCTTTGAAAATCCAAGTACGGCAAAATATACACACATCATAAAAACATTCTTATCTTGTCACACAGAGGTGGAAGATGGTTCATTGCAACATGTGGTGCCAGTATTAGGGTTTCTAATGTCACACAGCAAATCAATTTCTAAATTAAAAAAAAAAAAAAAAAAGTAATTTCAGGTTTTAAAAAATCTGATAAGAGTTCTCCATCTGCCATGTGCCATAGTTGACAGCTGCTTCCTTTTGCATAGCTAAGATCAACCTGACCTTAGCCAGTCAGCCTGTGTAGGTTGTGCAGGCATTGTTGAACGTATTAGTGGAAAAATATTAGTGCTTGGCAGAATTTTGTGTTCTTTGCCTTCTGTCTTTTGCTCTGATTAATACCTATGCCTTTCTATACTGTTCCTGTCTGTCTCATATTTCTTTCCTGTGGTAGATGCCTTTTAAGAGTAGCTTGATTCAGCTGCAGTTGACCTTTTATGGAGCAGTGCTGACTCACATCAAGTTTTTATAGGCCTGCTAGTTTCTGCACATATGCGGAGCAGGGGTCCTCTTTGACCTACAGGAGTGACAGAGAGAGAAGGAGATTTGGGGGGGG